GAAATGATGGACTAATGTGCTCTGTCTTCCTCCTTTCTTCCTTCTACCTCTTAGTCAAAGGACCAACCAGATTACGGGATGTATTCCCGAGTCTCTTCATCCCCTACTCACAGCCTCTATGTCTTTGTGAGAAATTTTGTGTGCAGAATCGGGGAAGATGCTGAGCTCTTCATGTCTCTCTATGACCCGAACAAGCAAATGGTCATCAGGTAGGTACCTAGTGCTCAGGCTGGCCTGATTTCTCTGTATGTGCGAGGTTGGAGTTGGCAGTGCACAGAGTATCTCTTCCATCCCCCATTACTTGGGGAATAATTTCCTCTAGAAGGGAGATTAAGATTAAATAATAATGTGGAAATAATTCCTTAAGCAAGTATGGAAGTAGATGTATTATTTGCCATCAGATTTTTCCCACCATAGGATTATGGTTACAGATTTTTTTTTCTTTTTTGTATTTTAGGGAAGGGTCTACAGGGTGTTCAGAGTCTCAAGATTGGACTTGTAGTGATCTTCCTGTTTACAGCCTCCCAAAACCTGGGATTACAGGCACACACCACCAAGCCCAGTCTCAGTTGCCGTCTCAGGGTGCCCTGGGGGCAGGGCCAGCATGGCAGGCCTGAGGATCGAACCTCCAGCCCCTGCACCTGCTTGCAGGTGCTTTAATCCTCTGAGCTATTTGGCCAGCTATGGTTACAGATTTTTGTCAGTAGGTTTTGATTACCAGAAAGCAACCAGAACTTACAAGATTTATATATGTAGCAATGGGTAGAATGAAAGCACCTAGTTTTAAAATGGGAGTTGTCCAAACACACTCAGACAACTTACCTTTGACAAAGCTGCCAGACATGTTTACTGGAAGAAAGCATCTATAATGAATGGTGCTGGAAAAGCTCTCTATATGCTGAAGACTAAAACTAGACCCATGCCTAGCACCTTGCACTAAACCAAAGTCAAAATGTATCAAAAATCTACACTTTAAAACAAAAGTACTCAATCTACCAGAAAGGAAAGTAGGTAAAAATCTTCAAGACATAGATGTAGGCAGAAAGCTCATGGACAAAACCCAAAGTTCATGGGAAATACCTCAGCAAATCAACAACTGGAACCTCATCTTACTAAAAAGTTTTTGCACTGCAAAAGAAATCATCAGCAGAGTGAAAAGACAACCCACAGAATGGGAAAAAAATCATAGCCAGTTGGCCCTCAGATGAAAGACTTCTATCTAGAACATACAAAGAATTAAAAAAAAATCAAACCCTCAAATTTATAGAATCAATAAAAAAAATAGGCGTCTGAGAAAATCACAGAGTGCATCAAGGTGAATATAATACCTCATACTGAGATGAATACATACTTCTCAGATGAAGAAATATGAGTGGCTAATAAATATATGAAAAAAATTCAACATTATTGGTCCTTTGAGAAATGCAAATTAAAACAACACTGAGATTCCATCTCACTCCAGAATGAATATCATCAAGAAACCAATCAATAAAAAATGCTGGCTGGGCTGTGGGGAAAAAGCAGCCTTTTCTACTGTTGATAAGAGTGTAGACTGGCATAGAAATCAGTATGAAGATTCCTCAAAAATCTAGGATTAGAGGTCCCATTCCACCAAGTTATTCCCCTTCTGGGTATTTTTTTTTCAGAATTAAAAACATCATACCACAGTTATATATGTGCACCCATGTTTATAGCAGCATGATTTGTAATAGCTAAATCCTGGAAACAACCCAAATGCTTATCAATGGAGGAATGGATAAAAAAGAAGCATTTTTAATGCAATGGAATATTACTCAGCCATCAGGAATTTTTGAACTTGAGACTTTGCTAGGTAAATGGATGCAACTAGAGGCCCTACTCATTTGCAAAATAAATCAGACTCACAGGTGTAAGCACCATATTGTCTCCCTGGTATGAGGAGCTATCTAAAATGTACAATAGATATTGTAGGATGGGAAGAAATTGCTGAAAAGGAACTAGGATGGGGGAAAGGGGAAGGGAAGGAAGGGGAAAAGAAAAAAAGGCAACTTAGTTATAGTATTAGTTTCTCTTAGTTCACAGAAAAGGAAGGTTTGCATTTATGTCAATTGGAGAATTACTTATGCCCGTATCTTGTGTTTGTAACTATTTTAGAGATAATAATCATATGCAATGTGTTACCTATTATTTTCCTATCATCTTATTATGAAATCTTGTTTTACCTTTTCCCATAAAAGTATATGAATAAGTAAGTCAAGAGATGAATAGTGTAAATTCCACTTCCTCCATAAAATCTGCCCAAGTTTACATCTCTGCCTGTTGTTTTCTCTTTCTTACTTTGAACTGGTCATTAATTATTCTGAAGCTTGTTTTTCCCATGAATAAAATATGGGTGCTGACCTCTCAGGAGCATTTCCTTTGGGTTTTAATGTCATTTGTGTTGACTCCTTCTTTCTCATTGATGCCTATTATTCTCACATTGTTCATCTTTGCATCATCTTGCAGGTGATGGATTATTCTTTCCTGCATCCTCGTTGTTTTTAAGAGATCCTTTCTTACCTTTTCACTAGCTACACCAGCATCTTCAAGATCTGAAACTCTGTCTTCACATTCATTTAAACGGTTTTGCAAGCTTGTGATTGAGAGTTTCATTTCCTCTATATCTCTTTGACTCTGCTTCATACGATCTATTTCTTTCCTGAATTGCTCATTCAGGGAATCTGTCATTTTTCTAATCTCCTCCATTTTTTTTATCAATATATTCTTTAGAAGCAGTTAGAAACCCTTCTACTGCAGTGTTTTTTTCAGATTGGGTTTCCTGCCTATAATTCTGTAGTTGATTCTTTACTTCAACTGCTATGAGTTCTGAGAGTTCTTTTTTTATTTCAGAAAAGAATTGCGCTCTGATTTCCTCTATATCTTTCTGCTGTTGCTTATTTACTATCGACGCTCTTAATTCATGCATTTGAGCCGAGCTAGTGCCCTCCGCACTTGTTCTGGGTGGGCGCTGGGTTTCTTTCATATGTTTCTGCATTTGATTCTTTAGTTCAGATGTTATTAATTCAAGGATTTCTTTTCTCATTTCCAATCTGACGTCTTCTATATATTTCTGCCACTGTTTCTTCATTTCAGAAGCTGCTGATTCATTATTTTCAGCTGTGTGATTTCCAATTTTTTCTGTGTTAGTGTCCTCTGTACTTGTTACAGGTGGGCTTGGGTTCTGAGGTTGCGTTTTGTTCCTTCTCGTCATTTTGTGTAGCACTGTCTTCTGACCTTTGTTGTAGATCTTTGCTGTAGTTATACCCTTCGCATGTACTGAAGTTCAGGTGCAGCTCTACAAAGTTAGGACTTATCCAGCTGCGTCTGGCTTGGGTCTGGCTGCTGTGCTCAGTCCTTTCCGCTGCTGCCCTTAAGGGTGAACCTGTTGTGCCCCTGTGGCGAGATGTTCTGCTCCTGGACTAGCTGGTTGGATCTATTCTCTACACTCTCCCTGGACCTGGGCTAGGACTGGGTCTGGGGGCTCCCGGAACTCGGCAGAAAATCCTACTCGGCGGGCGGGGTCGGGGAGGCACTGTGGAGTGGGGGGGGGGTTGGCAAAGGGGCTGAGAGAGGGTCCGGCCCACTCTGCACCTGGGCTGGGACTCCTTTGGGTTTTAATGAGAAAAAGCACATGAATCACAGACTTGGCGTATGTGCTGCAAGAAATGGGAGTTGTTATTATTGCTACTTTCATGAATTGCTCCTGAGAATGGAAGAAGGAAGAAATGTCTAGGTGCTTCAACTCAAAGAAAGGAGAACACCTTTGGTCTCCTGCAGGAAAGAAATGCTGATGGACCATGGGCCCACACTGTCAGCCCGCAGGCCTCTTCATGACTCAAATAACCCTCCTGCTCTGTTAACTACTGTCTGTTTCATTCACTGGGATTTGGGGCCCATGATCACCGGTTGGCACATTGAGGTAGAGGTGCAGCATGATCTCTCTGCCCTTAAGAAACAAATGAAGAGCTTGGTGTTGATGGTAAGATGAAATAATATCTAGTGCCTGGAGACTAGCAGTCCTTTAGTCAACATATCTGACCTGGAGACATTTGTAAAACATGGAGGGTGATGTGTATAAGAGGTGCTGAGGTCTGATCTCTTTGGCTTATTATTTCATGCCGTTTGGGTGGGAAAATAAAGCTCAGGGAGGAGAAGCAACTTGCCAAAAGTCACACGTATTTATAAGTGAGGGAACTGAGAAGGATACCCATGTCCATATAACTTCAAAGACAAGCAATTTCCCATTTTGGTCTGTAGCTGAGGAGTGAGTTGTATCAGATATTCCAAATGAATCCGATGGGAGTTTCAGCACTGTTATGGTAGAAAGCTATACTATATAGCACATCTAAGTCTTTAATATTTCAGAGTCACCTGGTGCCTCAGGCTCTGCCTCAGTGCATGTGATTCTGGTGAGTGTTCCTGCTACTCTGGAGCCCACCTTGATGTGGGCTGTGTGTCATAGGCTAGTCCCTGACAGTTGCAATTGCAACACTGTGGTAAGGATTCTGAAGACAGTTAGGACTCTTGTTTTCTCTTAGAATAAGGATTTGTCATGGCTACATACATAAGGGGGCTTGGTCCAAATCTGTGATCGATGGCTTTGGCCACCTTGGTTCAGGGAAGTGATGGGTTTGCAAGATGTGCTGTATCTGGATGATGAGCTTGTCACGGCAGGTCTAAGTGATGCCTGTGGGAAGGCCTGAGATGGGGGCAGCCGTGGTGTAGTGGGAAGAAAGGAGGGAACATGGCAGAGACCGATGAGAGCAAGAAGGAGGAGAAACGAAGAAAGAGGAGAACTGATTTATAGAAGAGGCCAGAGGCTTCCGGAACCCTTTCCAAGTCAGTCAGCTGCACAGCTGCTCTTTCTCTGCAGAAGGCATTTCCTTCACTCTTGTCTTCTCTAGCTAGGGTTAATCCACCTCGAGCAACAGGAAAGGTCAGGCATCAGTGTGGACCGGAAGGAACTGTCTGGGACTGATCCTTCTCTATCAGGCTGAATCATGCTCACTGCCCAGGGAATCCTGGAAGACATCTGGTATAGGAAATTTAAATTTTCGTAAGGCAATCCTCCCCCCCACCAGCAACCTGAGTATCAGGTCAATGAGAAGCTTATGCTCAACAAAAGCTCAAGAAAGAATTCGGGCAACCTCTTCTCTTCCTGTGAAGAGGATGTCATTCAGAGGTGATATCACCATCTTGGTGGCTTGAGCCTTCAGATTCTATCTTCTGGGTCTTTCTGGGCAAGGATGGATGGGCCTAGCTCAGCGCTCTAAATTGCTTTTCTTATTTATGGCTCTATTTCTCCAGGAAAAGAATTGCTGGTTTCTGCTATTTAAATGTAGTAGGCTGGGTCACTGAGGGGCTTGCTATATGTGATGAAAGGTGCTGGAAAATACCCATGAATTCCAGTAAGAATAGCCCATAAATAATTAATGGGAATCATTTAAAATTTTTAGAGGGAGTACAGCTGTGCTGGTTAGTTTCCTATGAGGTTCACTATGATTTCCAAGTTATTGAAAAAAATAGATGAGAAGGTACATTTAATTTGATTGAGTTTTATCCACTGTTTAATCTAGGTCAGTTTGCTATTGGATCTATTTCTCTCTTGAACTTTGTTCAAACTGCATTCATTAATCTTCTGAGGGTGCGTGGAGAGAGGAACAAGACATCACAGGGAATAAAGTCCTGTAAGAAGGCAATTCTCCTAAACTTTGCTGATTCTCTTATCTTGCTTTCTGGAGCTAAATTGGGCTTTGAGTGTTTTTTTTTTTTTCCTGGCTCAAAATAATGGACACTTATTTGGCAACAACTATATGCTCCTAGATAGTATAGAAAACCTAATGACTGGAATCAGTAAAGTGCTCTGCTTCTTCTAAGTTGTGTAAGTGCGTGGTGGGTGCTGGAAGCAGTGAGGTGATGAATGGTCTTACGTTTGTCTTAGGACTTGTCCAGTTACTACTCCCTCATAAAATGCTTCAGGGGGTTTCCATGATACTTACGATCAGGTCAAGATCCTTGCCTGGCTTACCCGGCCCACATGGTCTGTCCTCTCCTCTAACTTTTCTTTTATTGCTTCCCCCTTGAATCTGCTTCTTTGCAGTATCAAGCTCCTCCTGCCCCAGGGCCTCTGCATACATATTTACTTAGCCTGAAAGCTTCCTCCTTTTTGTATTTTGTCAATTTTACTTGTCATTCCTCAGCAAAGACCTGACCTCCCTGACTACCCAGACTAGCTTAGGACCTTCTCGTCAACACCATCACAATATCCTGAACTTTTCCATCCTAGCAGAGCTTCATATAAATAGTCATTACAACATTTAAATAGTTAAGTATATCTCAAATAATGGCTAGCAACTTATAATATATGTTCCATTGCAGTGTGACATGGCATTCAAGGAAGTATCCCACGTTTAAATGGCAATTTAAAATAACTTTAATCTTCACTCAGTCATGAGAGTGGAGTGGGCTGGAAAGGGTGAATACATTCTTTATGCCCAGAAAAGCATATGGACGTCCTTTCCCTTCTCATCTCTAACTCTCCATACCCTCTACAAAGGATACAGTTATTCTTCAAAAGTATTGGGCAGCTGTGCCAGAATTTGCTAAGCAGATGGGGGAGGGAAGAGGGTGTGGATATATATATATATATATATATATATATATATGTTGATAATTCCTTCCTCTGCTTGTCTAATGCCTGTCTCCCAACACAACTGTGGTCTCTGAGGAGGAAGAGCCATGCCTGTCTCAAACACTAATATGTTCCCAGCAGCCAGTATGGTGCCAGCACAGAGTTTGTGCTTTGTGAGTATTTTGAATTAATGTGGCAAGCTCTGTGCTAACACACTGTCTCTCCTCTTTCCACAGTGAGAACTACCTGGTACGCTGGGGCAGCAGGGGCTTCCCGAAGGAGATTGAGATGCTCAACAACCTGAAAGTGGTCTTCACGGTGAGTGTTCGCTGTCCGCTGCTTGCCACGCTCCACAGTTACAGAGATGTGAGCCTAGAAGTGTGGCTAGTGCAATGGTCAGTACGGAGTGTGGCCTTTGTGTGGAGATGTGTTTTGAGCTTTATGCAGAGATGCGGAACTGGCAGAGGCACTGTCTGTCCCAAGGAAGCTATTTGGGAGACAGATTTCTCCTCTGTTAGAGTTTGGGTCTGGAAGCCCCCATAAAGCCTCATGTAGTCATGGGGGGAGTCTTTCGGGAGGTGGCTAAATCTAAAGTTTGTGATTGATTCATGGCCCACTGCTGAGATTAGGGGTGCAAGTGCTACATCCACCCTCGGATGCATAGCCTGCATACAATATAAGGGACAGAAAGAGTCTTGTCTCTTCCCTTGCTTGCTCCTGTGGTCTTCCACCACCATGGACCATTACCCTCTGCCATGTACCACCTGGCCTTGAAGCCAGCTGACATGGACTAAAACATCCACAACCATAAGCTAGATAAACCTTTCCTCCTTTAACTTTGGGCATCAGGTATTTTGTCTCAGAAATGAGAGAAAAGTAACTAAGACATCCTCCCTCCCTCCCTCTTTCTTCTGTATACTCGGAGAACACATGCAAAACATTACACACATAAACAAGCACACACCCCACAAGCCTATATAAACAAGGCATGGCAGTTACTGTTTGACTTTCCATTTAATTTACAGTTAAGCTGCTTTTTCCTCCCCTTGAGTTCATGCCTTTCTGATAAACTTGCTGAAAAATACCAGGAAATAAAAGAGCCCTTCCTAAAATATTGACTGCCTTGTTCAGTTGAATATTGTGAATGTAATTAAGGCATAGATGACTAAAGATCTGGTGGGGTTCTTGAGATCGTTTTTCTAAATACCAATACTTACCAGGCAGGACTTACAAAGAAATGCTGGAATCAGTTGTTATTTGAATGATTTATTTGTGAGAGTGAACTTGGTCTTTTAGCTCAGAAGAAGGGAGACAGCATAAGCAAAGAGGTAAATAAAGGTTATCATTTCCAGTAGAGCCCCTTCTCTTATTCTTTTTCCACAATGGCATATTCAGAATGCAACTTTAGGATAGTAGGGATATGGCCTCCAAGCTCTTTGGTAGAGGAGATCAATTATGAGCTTTGGATCTCCCTGCAATGGCATTGCCTGTGTCATCAAGAGAAATTGCAGAGGATGAGTCATGGAGGTATTTGGTTATTGACCAGGCTGATGTGTTAGATCCAGGAGTGACCGACACGCTAGATTAACCCACCTTGCTCTACAACAATTTCCCAGTTACAGCCCATTAAGTGCGATGTCTTATGTTATGTTGCGATTAGGTTGAGATAGAGCTGATTTATTTTGTTTGTTCTTTCCTGAAAAATAGGCCAGAGGCATGGAATAGGACCGTAGGCCTTGATTGCTCTGACAAAGTTTTCTTGGCATCTATAAATGTGTGTTTATTTATGATTAGTTAGAAGGAGGAGCCTATTTATTTTCTTGATAAATAGGAGAGTCCCACGGGGCTTCCTGATTAAAGCACAAGACAGATGTTTCACAAGAAGGAGAAAGGACAGGGAATCAATCAGTGCTTCATTTTGCAGAGAACAAACTCATGATGCATACACGGAGGAAAGGGCATCCGCACATTTGTCACACAGTATTAATGAGGATGCGAGCCTGCCTTTGTGCCCTTCCACCCACACCATGCCACTGCTGCCCACAGTGAGAACTTTGGTTGGTTAAGGAAGCTGGTGCTTCCCTCCCTTGGGATGGTCAGAGCCTTTGTTTTGGGACCAGGGAGATCACGGTGCTCTTTCTTCTTGCATTAGTTCAAGAGCTATAGAATAGGGCCCCGATACATGGAAGATCTACCCTAGGAACTAGGAAACAGCACCAAATAAGCTGATGAGATCCCTGCTTTCCTGGTCCAATGTGGGGGGCTGGGGAGCAGTAGCTAGATGATAAATGAGTCAATAAATAAGCAAGAATAATGATAAAAAGCAATCTAAGCCATACAGATAATTAAGACAGGGTGATGTGATGTGCTGGTCTGCAAGTGACTTTCAATGGGGTGCCATAGTGACACTCAGTGGAGGCATGAGATGAGACTTGGAAGCCATGTGCCATGCTGGTCTTGTTTCTTTCCCCTGTGGACGTGAGTCTATTTAGTTCCTTCCTAGGGATTGGCTCCCAGCTCCTTGGGCTAAGGCTGCTGTGTATGTGTGGCTGATTTCTGACACTCCCACTCCTCACCTGCTTTGTAAGGGTTGCCCTCTTTAGTGCCACACCGAGAAAGCGCATGTACCATGACTCATCCCAGGCTGGGGTTGCTGCTGGCATACTGGAAGTATGTGCAAACCACAGTGGAAGCCTAGGGAATTGTTACATTAGGTGACACTTGCTTTATATCTCGTTGTCCTGCTTCCCTAAAAGCATGGGGTTTGTAAGACTGGAATAGAAATGCTTGGGCAATGTAGACTGGAGCCCTGTTCTCAGTAAGAGTTGCTCATTTACACATCCGCTGGAGAAGAACCTCCAGAGTCCTTTTGCTTTACTGTATAGAGACTGAGATTCTCTAGGGCCGAAGGTTCTTCAATGAAACAGCTCTTAGAGCTCTGATATCTTCCTCTGAGCAAGTTACATTTCAGAACAGTGGAGTTGGACTAGGGTCTTCTCTGGAAACGTTGCAGGCTTATCCAATATATTTGTCTGCTAGGGCCACCCTAACACTGTATCACAGATTGGTTCATTTTAAGCAGTAGAAATTTATTTTGTTACAGTCCCAGAGGCTAAAAGCCTGAGATCAAGGTGTCAGCAAGGTTAGGTTTTCTGCTTCTCTTCCTGGTTTGCGGATGGCTATTTTTACTTTCTGTCTTCTCCATAGAGAAGAATCTTCCCTTTCCATGTGTCTCTTCTCTATTATACTCTTGTTATAAAGAAATTGGTCATAGTGGCCTCATTTTAACTTAATTTCCTCTTTAAAGACCTATCTGGAAATGCAGTCACATTCCGAGATACTGGAGGTTAGGACTTTAACACATGCCTTTTGTGTGTTGAGGGAAGGAACGTAATTCAGGCCATAACATCCGGGAACTTTTCTGGTGCCAGGGCCTCTGTGGCTCTGAAATGCCTCAGAAAGACACTAATCTAGGTATTTTAAAAAGTAAGTAATCCTAATGTGAGAAGTAGTCAAGGATGCAGGTTACTATAAGGGAAGCAGTGTTTGAGGATGGAAAAGGTTTGGATATGTAGAAAGAGGAACGGGAGGTAAGCATTGAGATGGGAGGGAGGGAGTGGTTAGGAAGAAAGATACAGAATTGAAAGTGAGCATTGTGGAGCAACAAAGACACCTTTGTGACAAAAATAGATTACTTATATTCAAATAATAGTGAAGAATCAGTGGGCAAGGACAGCTGGTTATATTGTGTCCAGGCTCTTTCATGTGAACTAGGAAGGTTTAGCGCTAATAGGGTAGGAAATTGGAACCTATTGATGTTGTTGTGGGGAGAAGAATGAAAGAGTAAGTGTGGCTTCAAAAGACGGGTGTGTAGGAGATTTCAGGATGGGTGGGAGGAAGGAGTCAGGTAGGGCAAAGAAGAGGCTGTTCCCACTGTGTGGAGGTTACATAATTGGGATTGCAAACCAGATGCCTACAGTGCCAGGCAGGGCTACAAATGAGTAGAGGAGGTTTTTTTTTTTTTTTTTTTTTTTTTTTTTTTTTTTTTTTTTGCCTGAATGCAACTGCTCGGCTACCTTCCTTCTGTCTCTGCCCGGCAATGTGACCTTGGAGGAGGAAAAGATGGCATCCATTCCTCAAGCTAGTGAGAGGCCAGCTTGGATGAGTGGGTGCTGCGAACTCAAGAAATGTGTGTTTGAACTCACAGCAGCCTGGAAATTCAGGAAGGATTTCTAGACTAGCATCTAGAGGCAAAATTCTCCTTCCTCATGGAAACCTCAGTCTTTGAAGGCCTTCAGCTGCTTGGACGAGGCCCAAAGAGATGGTGGAAAGTAATGACTTATATTTATAGTCAACATGGTAGACTTTATTCAGACCCACAAAGTAACTTCTAGATGAGTGTATACTGATCAGCTGTGTACAATAACTTAGCCAAGTTGCATGCGAAATTTAACTATCCCACACCCAAGCAGAAAGATGAGGGCCACTTCCTGGCCTTGACTGACTCCAGAGACTCTGCTTACCCTGTTCTCTGCCTCCTTTTCAGCCACAGTGAACACCTGGAGACTGCTGCTCTGTCTGGGCCCCAGCTCAGATGTGAGCCATTGGCTTGTCTTCAGTGCATATTTCCACATGAAAATTATTGCTCGGGGAAGGAACCTGTTCCCTGCCAATGGCAGGCCTGGGCTCTCTGCCCTGGTGCTAATCGCCTGCCCTGCAATTCCTTCCCCAGCTGATCAGAGCTGCTGGTGAAGCCCGAAAACAATGGAGATCTGACCTGGGAGGTTGAACCTGTGCCTCAGTTTCTTCATCTGCAAAATACAAATGCAAATATACATACTTCAGAGAGCTGCTAAGGATCAAATAACATGAAGACATATGGGACACTTACCATACAACACATTAATGCATTTCAGTTTTAGATTTTGTCTCTCTAAACACAGCAGAGTGAAGGTCCTTGGTCCCTTGAAATTAGGCGCAGCCATATACCAAACTTTGGCCAATGATATGTGAGCAAAAGTACCATGCCTTGGGGACAGTGGAGCTACCTGAGTCACAAGAGACTCACTGCGGGCCCAGAGTGAGCCAGTGGAGCACTACCTTGTTTGAAGCAAGCTCCTGCTGGGTGGCAGGGTTGAGAGATTAAGGCAGTTTGGTACTGACACAAGTCTGCACCCTCGAAGTGAGTGGTAGCTGTTGTCATTTCCCCACCTTCTTTTACCTTCTTTCTCAGATGCATACAGCACTGATGCGACCATGGGCTTGTCTGCAGGACATGCTAACTGTGAATATGCTACCATGCAATCCTGCCTTGCAACCATGTGCACTCGGAGCCTTCTCTCCCTCTGTCGGGGCAAGGTGGAAGAGCTGGGCCTGAGCACTAGAGACCTGTCCTTTCAAAGCCTTGCCTTTCCTGTCTGTTTAGTGGGTGATACAGACTTGTTGTCTACATTTTTCAGGGAAGATTGTGCAATTTGTGCATGAATACTAAGTGCTAAGGACAACTGCCAGAAATAACCATTGCTAGATTGGCTTTTGCTACTTTTTTTCATTTAGCGCACGATGTGTATAAACATATATATTTTTTCTTTGCCTGCAGGATCTTGGAAATAAAGACCTCAACAGGGATAAGATTTACTTGATTTGCCAAATAGTCAGAGTTGGGAAGATGGATCTTAAAGATACAAATGCAAAGAAGTGCACGCAGGGGCTGAGGAGGCCCTTCGGGGTAGCAGGTATGATGTACCACCTGGCTACTTTTTATGGGAGTGAGCATCTTACCTCCCTGCATTTTCTGGACTATTTCTTTGTTCCTCCTCCCTTTGTCAGCTCTGCTCTTTGGACAATTTATGCCAGACAGCCCTTTAATAGCTACATTTCTGGTGACTAGAGTGAAATAATTGATGGGTGAGTTCAGATGTACCAGGAGTCTGGTGACTAACGCGATCTTCGGGTCTGGGCAGAGCCTCGGGAGCACCGTGCAGTCTGAGCGGGTGGCGCCTTTGCTGCCCGGCACTGTGAGAAAGGAAGAACAATACAGGCTGGATCTAATTACCAGGGCCAAATCATTTTTTAAAAATGATATCCGGGGCAGGAAATGCAGTTTCACAGAATGAGTCACCCACCATATACGTGACTTCCGGATGAAAATAGACCTCAGGCAGGGCGCGTGGAGAACCCCTGCGAGGCTGTGGACAGCGACGCTGGGCTCCACATTGTTCGCCAAGCTTTAGCTCTCTTGGGGTTTCCAGGAGCTCATCACTCTTGTCCTATTTTAAGGCTTTTTGTTCCATTTGGCTCGCACTTGTACTATTATTTCCCTAATATATTTTCTTTTAATTAACCCATTTTATTTAAACTAAAACACATTTCTTGAAAGACAACCTAAGCACCTGTGACGTGCTCATTTTATTCTTTTTATTAAAATATAAATTTTTAATCGTGTGCCATTTATAATCCCTGTGTACTGTATCTGAACCATTTCTCATTTCGGATGCTCTTGTCTTTTGCAACCACAAACCCACCGGCTCTCCAGCTGCTCCCTGGACACGATTGATGTAAGGGAGGAAAGGGTGGCATCATTGCGAGTTCTCGGGCTTTCTAGTTTAGCGCGTCAGGCGCTGACCTGAGCCAGCCAGGCACATGATGGGGGCAAGCGTCCTCTCTATGACCCTCATCCCTCTATGTGCAAAATGAGACCTTTGGACCTAGAGGATGTGTGAAACCCTCACCTGGTCCTCTGAGTGGGACACTGCTGATGTCACTGTATTCCCCTTAAGATAGGAAGAGTCCTCTGACCTTACTTGGACGTGTGCCATTGTCTTCACCTTTGCCCTTAGGCCATTCTCAGTGTCAGGTGACAAAACTCTAATCCAAACTGGTAGAAGTGTGGGTCATAGGCACCTGGGATGATTCTTTATTTTATATAGCCGAAATATTTAGGGATACATTTAGGGTCAGATTTAAATGGGCCAAGAACTTCAGTGAACTTAGAGCTCTCTCTTAGTCCATCTATCTTTTTTTTTATACTTATTTTATTTTATTTTTATTTTTTCCATAATTTTACTGAGAAACAAATAGCAATGAGACAGTTTCAAACCAAATTGGTAGGACAGTTTCAATAATTAACACACTGCATACATTCTTCCTAGTGGTTAATTGCTGTCAAGATGCAGACATGATATCCTATTTACAAACACTATTAGAACAAATCCCTCTATTCATTAAGAGAATGTAACTATATATTCATCCTAATCATCCATTAGCTCAGTTGTTTAAGTGCCTACTTAAACAAAGCATTCAGGCTCAGGATGCTGTGGTTCTTGAACTCAGATACTCCTGCCAAACCAGAAGATGCCCTGCAGGCAGCCAAAAAATAAAAAAATCCTTCTGACAGTCCATCTGTCTTTGCACTCATTTATTATGAAGAATTGGCTAGCCAGTTATCAGCCAGCTGATTCAAACTTTATCAGCTAAAGAACCAGTAGAAGAAGAAAACATGTCCTTTCCCTGTTATTTGTTGGAGAAGCCACAGGTTCTACATACCTACAGGTCAAATGCTGGACCTCTAAAGCATTGACTCAGGACAGGACATGGTCTCTGAATGGCGAGATCAGGTCCTGTGGTAGGTCTAGAGCCAGAGGGCGGTTGCTGCTCCCAAATCCACACCACAGCAGGGGCTCTGAGATGGGCTAGTGGGTGCAAAGGGGTCACTGTTGGAGAGAATAGATGCTGTTCAGGCAAAGATCATAATTCTTCTTCCTCACTCTTCCCTGATGCAGTCAGTGGCTGTTATCCAAGCTATTTTGATACTTCCTGAGCAGTGGCCAGATGTATGACTATTGGTAGGATTTTGGTTCTATTTGACTAGTTTTCCTCAGCAGCACTCCCAATTCTTTACCCTGCCCTTCAGTGCTAAAATCTTTTACCTTGGTGTTATGGATCTTAGCTGATTAAAAGGGAAATTTCAGAGATCCGGCGTCCCCCTGGAATTGTAGGGTTCACTGGTTTTAAGGCTACATGTCTGTGCCAATGAACTTATTTATGAAAAGATGGTGATCATTTCATTGAATCCTCAAATCCTACAGGGAGTCACTGCATTGGGTTTTGTAGGCACAGTAGATAATTCAGTGTATGTGTTGAATTCAAACCTAGTGGCTTCATTCCATTGCTGCTGCTCAACCTTTTCCTTTTGCTCTCTGCAAAGGCTCCTGCATGCTTCTCCAGTCTGCTGTCCTCCAGCCTGCTTAGTGTTGGGATCTGCCTGGCTGCTGCCTACCAGGAGCCTCACGGTCTCTGGTGTGGTCTCTTGCCAGCTTGCTTACCTTTTTGACTTTTCTGACCCACAGGCATCTCTACTTTGCCTCTTTTCTTAAAATCTCATCCTAATGTGATTCCTTTTTGGTGGCAGTGGGGAAGTTCATGTCAATTCATTTTCTTTTTCTTCTTTTTTTTCAGTTATGGATATAACAGACATCATCAAGGGAAAAGCGGAAAGTGATGAGGAAAAGCAGCACTTCATTCCTTTTCACCCGTAAGCAGCCTCCTGCTTCTTTCCATCCCTTCCACCCTTCCTTCCTCATGCAGGGCTGCTGAGGGCAGGTGCCCTGGCTCGCTGTGTCGGTGAGAGGGTGGACAGGTGGGGCCTTTCAGGAAGCTCGGGAGAATGCTGGGCTCAGTGCCCAGGCACTCAGACTTACCCAGCGTTTCACCTACTCCTTCATCAGATGTTACCCACTCAATATATTCTTACTGCAGCCCTGGCATAGGAGGACACTGCACAAGGCACAGGAATGAAGGGTGCAGGAGTCCACACAGCTGTGTCGTTGTGCATCTTATTCTTAAGAGGTGCACTTAAACAGATAAGCAACAGGGGATTAATGCATTACTTACAAGGGTAACAGGAACCCGAGGGTGTAAAGGAGCAGTGTCTCAGGAGCCTCTGATGGGGAGTCCTAACCTGGTCCTCATGGGCAGACATACCCATGACTTTGAAAGGAGGGAAATGAGGAAGGCAGGCTTCCTGGTCTTGCTCAAAAAAGAATCGTCAAGGAAGTAGAAGCCCTCGTTTAAAAACATTGTCCATACTTAGTCTCCAAAGGTGTCTGGGTAATGAGGCCAGTGTCTGTGGATTAAGGAATGTGATTAAGTCTTCCCAGAGCAAGTGGAATCTTGCAGACCTTGTGGAGCATAATCTCATGTTGAGGGCTGGAGAATCTTTCTTTCTCATGAGTCTTTCTAAGGAATGAAAAATGATGTCTACTTGCAGCATTGGCATTCCCAAATTTCAGAGCTATGATTTCTTTGTGAAAAAATGCACTGTGCTTCCTGATAGCCTGTATGTTCTCAGCGGACATAGGCGGGCTTACAGTTCACTGAAGGCATTCTGAGGGGCTGAGGAACTCCCTGGGGTGCCTTGGACCCCCTCAGGGAGTCATATGCACATTTGTGCTCTTTTCTTTCGCAGGGTCACAGCTGAGAATGACTTCCTACACACCTTGCTGGGCAAAGTTATAGCCTCTAAAGGCGACAGTGGAGGACAAGGTACAGTTCTAACAGGCAGATGGCATGAGGCTGCTTCAGCCCAGAAACCTGACTGTTCAATAAATACATCAAGACCCTTATCCCTCAGAAACTTAGCTCTCCTCCCAGGCAGACCATTGGTAAGACTGGGAGCATGCAACGTATATTTCCTGAAACAAATGAGAAGCATGTGCTAGAGCCCAGAAGAAGAGACGTATTCGTATATTCTGAAAATCTTTTGTGTATCAAGTACTTTCATGTTCTTTTGTTGAATTTCATCCTTATTCCTATCCTGTGAGGTGGACAGATATTGCCATCCCCACTTTAGACAGCCTGGGCTAGGGGCTGGGGATTTGGCTCAGCAGTAGGATGCTTGCTTAGCAAGCTACAAGCCCTGGGTTTGGTTCTTAACACCAAAAATAAACCTCCCCTAAAAAACAATTCAACCAAAAACATACAGTAAAATAGAAATCCTAGGCTTAGAGAGGTGAGATAATTGCCGGAGGCTGCTATTGCTGTACACTACTGTTAAACCTGGAGGTGTCTAGCCACTGAGGCCCCTGGGCTGGGTCACTGTAGCCGCTGTTGTATGTGTCTGCTTCAGTGGGCTCTCCAGCAAGGATGGAGCCATGGAACTGAGTAAATGACTTGGATCTTCATGGTGAGTGTTCCCTTCTAGGTCTTTGGGTGACCATAAAGATGCTGGTAGGCGACATCCCTCAAATCCGCAAGGACTATCCACACCTGGTGGACAGGACTACCGTGGTAGCCCGGAAACTGGGCTTCCCTGAGATCATCATGCCAGGTGGGAAGCAGCTGCTGTGGCTTGCTCCTGGGGTGCTCCTGGGGAGGTGGCAGTGGCTTGGATTGCCCGATCCAGTTTCTTTTCAAAGCGTCCACTCTTTTCCGTTGCCTTTCTCCGTCGCTTTCTCGGAAGGTAGCATGAATATACACATATTTCTCCCTCGCAAATGGGATTCACGCTTAATGTACATGATGCCCCCTCAGTTAACATGCTTATTTGTAGTGTGTTCTTCAATTGCTTTACCACTGAATAATTTATCATGGGCATCAGTTGTATTTTGCTCCATGTAGGACAGTTCCATTCTTTGTGCAGGAACATTGTCATTCTCTTAAATTTTTAAATTATTTTTGTTATGTAAGGAATCCATGCTTATTGTAAAATATGCAAATGACATGAAAAGGCATAAAGTAAAAGGTAAAAGCTCCCTCAAATCTCTGTTTCCAGGAATATCCACTATAATTAACATTTTCTCAATATGCATGTGATTTTATTTATTTATTTATTGTGTGTGTGTGTGTGTGTGTGTGTGTGTGTGTGTGTAACTGGGGATTGAACTAAGGCCCTTGTGCTTGTCAGGCAAGTGCCTATTCTACTGAACCACCTCTCCGGCCCCATGCATGTGATTTTAACGTCAGATTATGTGGAAACTCCCTTGGAATATCTTTTTCTTGCCTGCAGAATATCTTTTTCTTGCCTGCAGCCTGAGTCTTGGGCTTCTGTCCAGGATCACTCTTGCTGATTTACCCTGTTCTGTGCGTGGTTTCATGGTGGTTCACTGGGGCCTGACCTGTGGTTCCGCCTTTCTCTCATTCTCTATTCCCTGAGCATTCCCTCACAGGATTTTCCATTCCGATCCTCCCTTTTCCTGGAAGTCCTCTGCATTTCACGTCTAGCCCCGTGTCCCTAGGACACGGAGCAGCTCTCCCTGTCTTGCTCCTCTCCAGTGAAGGTCTGTGGATGTGCATAGATTATTTGGTTGCTGTTCATGGGCCAAGACAAATTCATTTGGCGATTTCCTTTGCCTTCCCAGAAGGTGTCACTAGAGGATGGAAATTAAATGATTTTAACATAGAGAAAATATGGCCAATTTTTGACCATCCTACACGTTTTTCCACAACTGATTTTCTGGTGCTCCTTCATCCCCTCTGTGGCAGGTAAAAACCCTTTTTCTGCACAGTTCTGCTGTTGATTTCATTACTCTGCTTCCTGCAGTCTGCACCCTCTCTGGTTACTGAGGCCTCTCCCACTGAGATCCTACCCAACTCTTGTCTCCTTTCCTTTTCTGCCACAGGGGATGTCAGGAATGACATCTACATTACTCTCCTACAAGGTGACTTTGACAAGTACAACAAGACCACACAGAGGAACGTTGAAGTGATCATGTGTGTGTGTACAGAGGACGGCAAGACGCTGCCTGTAAGGACCAGGGCTGTGTGGGACCATAAAGATTTGCTACCATAAAGATTTGCTTTTCTTCTCCCTTAATGTGTTCCCTAAATGACAGGGTCCCTTGGGACAGTGTTGAGTATTGTGAGAAACACCTTTTCAGTTTGGTTGGCACAGTGTCCCCAAAGAAGACCTCATGTTGTTATGCCTGTACACCTAAGCAGTTTTGTAGCATCTGTTCTTTTCTTTTCATGACTCTTACTTCTTTTGTGTGTGTGTGTGTGTGTGTGTGTGTGTGTGTGTGTGTGTGTGTGGCTTGGCCTCTGCTTATAGCTTTGCTTTATGCAGTTAAAATGCTCTTGTTGAAACTCGAGCAGTTGGTTTCTTTTTTCAGACAAAATCCATGGTAGGAAGGAAGATCAATACAGAGCCTTGGGCTGGTGTGGAGACTCAGGATGTCCTCAAAGCAGATATTCTCAATGCTTAATCCAACTCCCCAGTGCTCAGCCAGAAATTTGGGTGGAAAGCTTTATTCGCAAATTGGTCTCTAGAGGGCTAGCGGAGTGTACTCACGAATGCAAAGCACATGGCTATATTTATACAGCATATGTCCTGTACAATATTTGTCAGGCATGTTTACATTTATTTACTTTTATTTCCTTTAAGGTTGTCAGCAGTTGTGTCCAGTGTGTGGGAGGGTTTTGCTTCTCAATTTTTCCTTTTGGAATACTTAGCTGAAAATAAAATCAGCTCTCAGCAGAAGTTCTAGCATGGGCAAATATCCCTCTTAGGCCGCTGTAAGGGATAAGATAGCAAAGTAAGGTAGGAGGATTGATCAGAGGGAGGGGTGAAGATTGGCAAGTTGTCAGTTCTAGGCCTGGAGCTTGGAGCTCAGGCCTGATATGTCACCCTGTCCCTAAGGACATCTGGCCTCCCCAGGGGAATTGCAGTGCCTCAAGCTGTGTGATAATGCACTTCCATTACCTTCTCCCTCTCATTACATGGGGAACCTAAATAGTTGTCAAGTGAAGCAACTCACCCAAGGTCGTAGGGTTTGTACAGAGATGCCTTTGATTGCAGGTTCTAGGCCATCTTGAACATTTGCTTCACTGTAATGGCTGTAGAGTTTTTACAACTGTCTCTCATTTTAAAAATGAGGCTGATAACTGCTTCTATGAAATTCTGGAAGATTTAGGATTATTTTTTTAAGTACAGAGATGCTTACCATTGACTTTTTCCCCCTAAAACTGTCCACATTAATTAATATCCACTTGAACAAAATCCTAGCAGTCGTCTCATCCTCCTTTTATCAAATGATAAAACTTTTCTAAAAAACAAAGTAAGTGGGAAACACTTGGCTCAAAGGAACACAAAGAAAGAGCTGAGGGATTTTATCTGAAAGGAAAAGTTGCATTTCGCCAATGTACAGACCTTTGCTTTGAAGTTATTTTTATCCAGTACCTGTTGGAGAACTTTGTAAGCTCAGACTCATTTTTAAAACATTGATATGCCTGCCTTTCCTGTGACCAGCAGAAAAATTAGAACAAACAGTTGGCAGGTGAGCAGGCATCTTATCTTCTTTCTGAAGTGTCCTCACCTCCACCCCTGCTGCCCTTTCAAGTTGCACCAAGGCTGCCCAGATGCGCTTATCAAAGATGAATGCAGAAGCTTGCATTCTGGGGGCTGAGGCAGAAAGGTAACTGTGGGGCACAGTGATAATTTGCAGTTTCATTTATTAGGGAAATTATGAGGGAGTTCAGTGGATTGACTATTGAAAATTGCTAAGTAAGCCTGTGGGAGGCTTTTCTTTCCTTATTTGCAGAAATAAATATTACTGCCTAATTAAGTGTCACAGAGTATATTCAAATGCTCGTGTTTTATACTGTGGGTTCCTGTGGAACAGTCCCCTTTAGGAGCATCAGTTTCTCCTCATGCTCCAGGTGTAACCAGTGTTTGGCAGAACAGGAGCAGAAGGTAGAGCCACTTGGGGTTTCCAGGATGTTGCTAAGATGGGGCTGTTGCACAGAAGCTCATGGGGTGGGTTCTCAGATCAGACAGAGTCCCAACCCCTCCCTCATTTCCAGTTAGTTGTGTGATCCTGGACGAAGGTTTTCATCTATAAATGAGGAAGTTTAATCTCCTCTCTTGGGACTGCAGGTGAAACACACAGTAGATGTGTAGGGTCTGGGATGTAGGGGATGCTGGTAACAGGAGGGAAAGCAGCGTTGAGAGAAGAGAATCCAAGCACAAGGGAAGCCCTCGGAGGAAACGGAGTGAGTCAAGCCAGCGGTCCAACCTGAAGCAAGTTGCCAGGGAAGTGCCAAAGTCCAAATGCAGCCAGGCCAAGAAACACATGCTTCATTGAGGCCATAGCTTAAAGTGGTAGAGACAAGCGCTGAGGGCAGGGTGACACAGTGGTTAAGTCCAGGACCTCTGGGTCCAGGCTGAAGCCTAGGGCAGTGTGGATTAGTTACATGACTTCAAACAGGTTCCATGACCCCTCTTAACCTGAGAATCTGCCTAAAAATGGGACCAGCAATTGCACTTTACTCTTGTGACTATCAGATGAGGTAATCTACATAATAGGTGCTCATTAAATTTAGTCATCATTATTAGAAAGGCATAATGAGCTCTAGACCTGAGTCTCACCTTCAGGTGCTAATTAGCTTCTTCCTATGATGCGGCCTCGGTACAGAGTGCACAGCCTGCTTGAAGGCCATTCACATCTGAGGTATTGTCCTTCCTCACCGGGAGTAAGCAAAGCGTGCGTTGGCACCTTGGCTTTTCCTCCTGCTGAGATGTCTCTTCCAACACCAAGTCGGCACTCAACCTTCCAGGCTTCGTGACTCTCCCCCTGATTTTCAACTGACCTTAAATTGCCGACACCGACCAGGCCCTCATGCCATCAACTGGAAGTCATGAGAATGGGAGATATGAAAATTATTGCAGTCTGACTTGAGATATGTACAGATCTATACTGTCCCTAAGACTGGGCTCATTCTCTGGCCACGAAGCTATCTCCCCACACTGCAGCATTCAGTCTGATCCTTGAAGTGCTGGAGCTGGGGAGGATGTCTTTGGTCTTAGTGTGTTGTTGAGGCTTCCTTCTTTATTCTTAGGAAATCAAAAATTTTCATCTTCAGGATAGTTTTGTGATATTCAGTTGCCTGCCATAGAGCAATTTTACTTTCACCAGAGATATATGTGCATTTTCAGATTTTATAAGCTACACGGGATTCACTGAAGTTACAGAAACTGTAAGCCCATAAATGTCACTAGATATAAATCTCTTTAAAGCTATAAGACTTGTAGGCTTTTACAGAAAGAACACTTGTACAGGAACTAAGGAATCTTGGATATAGTCCCAGCTCTGCTATGTTTTGGACACGTGCTTATCCTCGCTGAGCCTCAGTTTACCCAAGTGTGAAATGAAGACAGTGACAGTCATCATTAGAGGTAGTTTGTGAGGTTTGAATTGAGTGAGGTGGCTTACAGGATGCTGGTTATTAAGTATTCTCTAGGTGGTTTGAAAACCTTTGGAAGAGTGTTTCAGTTCATTGCTTCAAGAAGTTGTGAAAGGTTTCATACAATAGAAAACCAAGAGGTTAGCGTCTACCTTCATTTCCAGCTCCCTTGTTGTCTTTGTTTTGTGAGAGGTAAGTACTTGGAAAAAGCTCTGCTCTATTTTCAAGTGGATTTTGTTTGTCAGCAAATACCGTCAGTCAGTACTGAAACTGAGCTCTTTCTTTTCCTCTGCCTTGGAAGCAAAGCGGGGGTTTTGCAGGCAGAGTGGGAGGACACTTTACCCGAGGGTTCTACTTTTGTTTCTCTGGAGACCATGGAGTATCTAGTTGTGGCCCTCTTTGGTGGCACAGACTGGCAGGGGTCACGGGCTCATTGGAAACTAGTGAGAGGCATGAACTTGCTCACCATCAAAGTGTCCAGAGACACATAGGACTATGATTTCAAAATCTGGGGTTTAAAAACCATTCACCGTGTCCCTAAAAGTCCAGAGACTGAGATTAAAAATTAATTATTCTGGTTTGAAAACTACACTTAGGCTTCTTCTTGGTGATCCTGGTTTGGATCTTGTGTTGAGGCTGAAACTGCTCGAATAAAGAGGTGGAGGGCAGAGTGGTGGGGGAGAAGGAAACATAGAGGGAAGAGAGAGAGCGAGCGAGAACATGAATCAGGTGCTGGTGTATACAACTTGTATATAATTCCTGGCAACCTTGTTCTTTTCCCAAATGCAGAAGGCCATTTCTATGGCAAGGAATCAAAGCCTAAGTGCACACGTGGTGCCCATGCTCCGTGCTTGCTCTCCACTTGTAGTGCGTTCCTGCATTTCTGCTCCAAACCAACTCAGGATTCCTCTTTCAGATGCCTAGCTCATTCTCTGCAAGGCATCCTCCCTGCATGCTCAGCTGCGCTCATCCTCCTCCATGCCTCAGGACTCTGTCTGTCATCACGTTTCACAAGCTCAGTGACCGATGGCTCATCTAATGTCCTCTCCGCAAACTGTGAGGTCACATCCGGTTGCGTATCAGGTTCATTCCCCTTCTTTGGGGTTTCACATGGGCCTGGCACCCACAAATGCTCTCTCACTCTGGGATGAACTGAATCACCTGCCCCAGCTTCTCTGAGACTTGGTCTGCATGCAAGGCACCCCGGTATCTTTCCCAAGCTGATGCTGTCGCCCACTGCCCAGCGACCCCTCCCCCACCTTGGAGTGTTTGCATTAGCGCTCCATCAGAAGGAGCACTGCTTGGCTGAGCTGAGCCTGCTTGTAAACTTTGTGCACATTTCACATTGGGGAAGCAAATAGGATTAATAAGACTGTCAGAGTGCAGTAACTCCAAGGCTGGTTACCATCTGCAATGAGGCAGCCATGTCAGCACCTGCCACGCTCTGGTGGTTCCCAGAATAGGAGTGATAGAGTTCTGTAGTTAAGCAGCTGTCACTCACCAGCCAACCATGCTCATGTATAAATCCATCATGTAAAAGGACCGTGATAGGGACCTGGCAGAAGTCAGGGAAGGCAGGTTTGTCCTGGGTCCTAAGACAGGACCAAAAATTGCCCAATCACTGGAAATGCAACACTGCAGTGTTTTCTTTCTTTCTCTGTTTTTCTTGTGTCAGAATGCAATTTGTGTGGGAGCTGGGGACAAGCCCATGAATGAGTATCGCTCTGTCGTGTACTATCAAGTCAAACAGCCGCGCTGGATGGAGACAGTGAAGGTAATGAGAACAGTCATAACAATGGAAACAAACATGTATGTAGTTCATGTGGTGGGCCACTTTTTTCCCCCATGCATTCCATTTAAATAATTCATTTGGGGCCAGCGAGATACCTCAGTGGACTAAATGCCTGCTTAGGCAAGTGCAGGGACTGGGGTTCGATCCCTGGCACGACATGCCGCATTGGTCCCACCCCTGGGATGTGCTGAGCCAGCAACCAAGTAATCCCAGCACATGGGAGGTTAAAAACAGGAGGATCACTATGAGTCAGAGCTGGGTAATGAGACCCTGTAACAAATACATAAATGAAAAAAAAAATTCATTTGTTGATTACCAAGTAGATTTGCATCATACTTTCCTCATTTTACAGAGGAGGAAACTGGTGCAGAAGTAAGTAGCCTGGCCCTGATAACACTACCAGGAAGGGTCAGAACTGGGCTGGGAAGCTGGGCCTGCTGGCTTATGGTTGTGTTCTTCACTTCTACCCAAGGGAGTAGGAATGGACTGGAGATATTAGCATTCTTTCTCCTTTTTATGAGACCAGTGCAGTAAATTAAATTAGAACCCTACACGGTCGAGAGCTCATGCTTCACCTCTGTTATTCATTCTCTGGGTAGCCGATCTGAGCAAGTCATTTGGCCACTCTGCTCTGGTTCCCTATCTTTAAAATGGGAGGAACAGGATGACTGTGAAGACAAAAGAACTCAATCCACACAACACCATCAGAGAAGTCCCCAGAAGGGGCGCAGGGAACACATTTTTGATTAGACTTGGCATTTGTGATTGGTGTGAAAAATGGGACTGTACTCTTGAGAAGCCAAGGCAGGAAGATTGCTATGATTCCAGGCCAGCCCGAGCTACATAGCAGGACACTGTCTCGCAATACCAAAAACAATTAAATAAAACTAAACTGAGCAGAAGTGGATACTCCTTTGGGATGTCCCTCCATCAGTAGACTCTTGGTTCTGCAAGGCAGTGTAATTCAGTGTGGTGTGTGCCTTTGTCTTGCTCTGCATGCTGGGAGGACAAGAGAGGGAGCAGGCAACGATTCCACACATGTGACACAGGTCATCTCTAAGGCCCTGTCTTACAACACCCCGATCCAAGCAGTCCATGGAATACTAAATCATCATTCATTAAGATATAGTTCATGGTCATATAACTGTGAGAAATTTCACAAAAAGTACAGACCTTAAAAGGCTTTCTTCTTTAGGGTTCTCAGAGCCTTTCAGATGTACACATGCTCTGAAGAGCTGCACAAGGAAGAGAGAGTGCAGAGACTTGTCCAAACCTCATCAACTGTAGCATCTTTTCTTTCCTAGCATCATACCCAGGTCTAGCATCGCTGTTGAGCACTTTAAAGAACTTCCTTACTCTAATCTAAGCAGGTAGGAGGCTTGAGAGACCCAAGTACTGTGAATAGCATGTAAGAATATAGCATGTTGGATTTTTTTCATGGAATATCCAGCTCAATTTTGGGGAGAATTATGACTATTCTTTCTGAGGGGATACAGTGGTAAAACCATCTTTAGTTCTGGGTTACAACAGAAATCACCATCAATGAGGGTGCAGTGCTATGTGAGGGGCTGTCCTGGATTTGAAACAATACCCTAGCCTACTTGAAATATTAGCCCAGTTAACAGGCACCCTGATTCTTTTGAAGAAATGTGAAATTGCCCAATAGTGTTCTTGCGGACAGTGCCCAGCCCTTGGAGCTGTGCACTTCTGTTCAGAGGAATGACAAAGCTTCCCATCAAGTGTGAGCCCTGAGATGCCTAAAAGATGCCCTTTGTGGATAGTTCCTCAGATAGAAGGGACCTTAACCACAAATATTTGCATTATCAAACTATCACACTAAGCAGGAAGGAATATTCTCCATTGGATTAAGAATTTATAATTAATTCATTGAATAGTAAGGCTTGATAACCATGTCAAGTATCTCTGCCGTATAAATTGGCACTATTCTTTACTCACTTTGTGGCATGGCTCTAAACTCAGTGCAGGCTCATGACTTTTTGTTGATGATAGCTGTTGATACTCTAGTGGTTCTTGTCTTGTCAAGAACATCCGTATGTTCCTCAGTGATTCCCCTGTGCTCACTTTCTACAAAATGTTGAGCTACCCAACTTTGGGATTAGAGAACTATTGAACTGGGTAGATTGTGTTTGCCCTCTTGTACCCTACTTAGCTTCTGGTGCACAACTGTTGTATGGTACCTGGTGTGAACAGGTAACTCTTCGGATGTGCAGATGTCGCTGTACATGGATGTCCTACACACTGCAATTTCTGGCTACCTTTAAGACTGAAATGAAGGGTTGACTTAGACTGCAGGGGCCCAAGAGCCACCCAGTTCATTTGCTTAGACTGAAACACAGACAGGAGGGTGGACTTCTTCTAGGTCAAATTTTACTTTCTGGAGCAGAAACTGCTGCAATGTGTGTACCTGTTTGGCTTTAAATAGTCACTGATGTGGTTGCAAAGTTATTCATTTTAAAAATTCCAGTATTGCTCTTGCAGGTAGCTGAGCTTTTCTGCATTGGCTTCAGTTGCACATTGCAGTAGAGCTGTGAGGCTTCGCGACTTGGGCAGCCCAGTGCCCAGCTGAAAGCACCTTAATTAATGCTGCAGCAGACCCCCCACCAGACAGTGGTGCTGGTTGACCAGTGGGTGATTGTCTTGGCTTAGGGTTGTCAGAAGTAAAATCATCTGCATGTGTCCAACCAGAGAGGAGATGACCACTAGGATTTTTTCAAATATTATTGGGTTAATGCACCTTATTAATTTACATAAATGAGAGTCCTCAAGCAAACTCCCTAATGGCCATTGTTAATTTGCCAAACCCTGCTGCAATTGCCAAGACTCCTGGAGTGTGTAAGGAAAATGTGCATTGTGCAGTTTGCAGTGCATCAAATCCTGTGCTAAAGTTATGTGACTTTTATATCAATTGGGGAGATTCATTTTTCCTCACTATAATTTACAGACCTCTTTTCATTGGCTGGGAATGCAATTTGCCAAATGGATTGCATTTGGTACTTTATTTTCTCTTCATAGCTAGTTCTTATGTAATTTATTTACAGTTCATCAGGCTTGATGGATGGGTAGTAAATCAGCATGCAGCACTCACAGCTGAATGGTCAGGTTGCTTTGTGGGGGGTGCAAGGGGACCTTTAACTTATTGTCTCCTGAGCTGTGGTGTCTGCCTGCCTAGGTGGCTGTCCCCATTGAAGACATGCAGAAGATCCATCTGCGTTTCATGTTTCGACATCGGTCCTCCTTGGAATGTGAGTAACTGTGCAAATGACATCTCCATAGCTTCCTTAAGGAGGAGAAGCAAACAATAGCTGGGAGGACTATGTGTCATTTCTTTCCTGACCTCACAATGCTATTTCCAGCTAAAGACAAAGGAGAAAAGAACTTTGCCATGTCCTATGTGAAGCTGATGAAAGAAGATGGAACCACTCTGCATGACGGGTGCCATGACCTCGTTGTCCTCAAGGTACAGTGCAACGAAGGGGCATACAGGAAGGAAAGGGAAATGGCAGGATGGCTTAGCAGTTAATAGCAGGCACCCCAAGATCACACACATGAGGACCCACTAGCTATGTGGCTTTGGACAAAAGTCTTAACTTCTCTAGATTACTGTTTCTTCATCTGTAAGCCCTCTGTAAATCATCTTGAGGATTATACAAGATAGTGAGTGCACAGTCCCCAGCACTGAATAAAAGAAAAGGAAAAAAAAAAAAAGAAAGAAAAAGAAAAAGAAGGGCTCATGACTGTGTAGAGACCTCTGCAGGATGTGTAAGAGATCTACGAGAAACATTTCTTCCATATGGCCTCAGTTTTTCATGTGTCACATGGTTCCTAACTTGAAAGCTATTTTTCCCAACAGATTATGAAGTCTTTTGGGGAGAGACCCAGTTGGAGTCAGTTTTCTTTTGACTTAACCCCAATCAACCTCAGCTTTCTCACCTGTGAACTGAAGATGACAGTGGAATCTGCTTCATATGCTTGTTGTGAGGATTAAATGAAGCATACGAAGCCTTGCAGAACACCTAGCACCACTCCCAGTGAGAGATGAGGGCCTTTAACTAAGATCCCTGCTAGTCCTGCCTCTCTGCATTCATTCCAGCATGCTTGAAGCGCTTCCCAGTTTATCCCTGTGCTATGTATTCTGCATTTTCCTATTTAGTCTACTGAGAAACTCTATGAGGTAAGGGAATGATTACTCCTTCTAATCATGAGAAAAATGAGACACAGATACATCAAGCAGTGAACCCAAGATGACATGAAATAGCGAATGGTAGAACATTGCCTGGTCCCAGAGCCATGACCCAGTGTCTTGTTTTCATTAACTTCAGCTTTAAGCTGGATTTCGTCTCTTACTGATGGCATCGCATACATGGATTAAGATGGGTTAGGGTGGATTAAAATTTCCTCTCTGGGAATCTCTGATCCCCCTTCTTCCCCTCATTTCTCAGTTTCCAACTCTCAGTACTGGGGACAGGACCCAGGGCCTTGTGCATGCTAGGCAAGCGCTTGACTACTGAATTGCTCCGCAGCCCTCCATTCTCTAATGATGTTCACTGAGCCTTTGTTTAGTTGATCAACCCCTCTTCCGTCAAGGCATTTTTGGGGAATAGCAGCCCCGCCTCTCCATTAGATGTTCACTAATTCCCTGATGATTTTGCTCACTATTTCTGATGCTCCTGACCTTACAGGGTATGCTTGGGCCACAGGAATCCCTGAGAAGGTCGCACATGGAGTCTGGACTTGGGGCAGTAACCAAAGTGTTGTTTCCAGGGGGACAGCAAGAAGATGGAGGATGCCAGTGCTTACCTCACTCTCCCCTCTTATCGACATCATATGGAAAGCAAGGGGGCTACTTTGAGCCGGAGCTACAGCAGTGTTGGGGGGCTCTCTGTCAGTTCCCGAGATGTGTTCTCCATTTCTACCCTGGTGTGCTCCACCAAACTCACCCAGAATGGTAATGCGGCTGTGGAGCGTTTTGTCTGTGGTATGGATGTGTACACGTGTGTGTGTGTGTGTGTGTGTGTGTGTGTGTGTGTGTACGTGTACACATGTGCATAGGTGTGCAAGCCCAGAGAAGTCCTACTGTGGATGCTCTAGGCTGTCATAATGATGCTATTTGTCTGAATTCTGTTGTAGTGGGCTTGCTGGGTTTGCTGAAGTGGCGAATGAAGCCTGAACTTCTACAGGAGAATTTAGAGAAGCTGAAGATTGTGGATGGAGAAGAAGTAATGAAGGTCAGTGGGGCCTCATTGTGCTTGTGGTAGAACATTGTTAAGTCAAGCATAACTGCCATGGAGGAGAAAAGCCTGGAAGGAGATAAGGTGGCTTTTCCTCTGATGATCAATCTACTGGCCCAATTCTCCATGAGAAAGCCTTATGGGGAGATACAGGGGAAGGATTTGGCCAATGGCCTGAATACTGACTCTTAGACACTCTGGCTGTGTTTGGTCTCTGGAAATCAGTTGGCCTGGATATAGACCTCACCTCTTCCACTTACCATAGCCAAGATCACTATTTGTATGCAAAATGATGATATTTATAAGTATTCAGCACAGTGCCTTACATGCAACACACAATAAGTGATTAAAGGCAATAAGATATACAAGTTCAATAAATAGTGCAGTGTCTAGCTTTTCCATCACTGAAGCGCAATGCCTGACACCCACAATTTAAAGAAGTCTAATTTGGATCAAGGTTTTAAAGAGACTCAGTCTGTGGTCAGCTGACTGCAGGAAGAAATATAATAATGGCAAGGCATGGCAGAACAAAGATGCTTTGTCCATGGCAGCCAGGAAATAGGCAGAGGAGCAGTCCCATGGAGAAAGGAGTGAAGGACCGATACTAGATTCAGGGCTACCCCTCCATGACCACCTAGAACTATGCACCACCAATCCCATGGGTGGACTCCCAGGCCATTCCGGTTGACACTGCACCCTAACTGCCACAAAGTGTAAATTTTTATTTTGCTGTTATAAGTTGCCATACATAGTAGTATAGTAGTAGCGTGCTCTCAGCATGACATGCACATTGCTAGAAATAAAAAGTATTCTTAGTTTATGCTGCTGGGAGAGCATTATGTATTAAAGATGAGGAAGACGAAGACCTTAGGGCTTCTATTCTAAGTGAAGCAAGCAGAAAACAATGCAAATGTAAGGTATATTATTGTGTCCTCATGCTAGTGGAGAATATAAATTATCTAAAGCACAGATCTAATTAAAGCAGCTCTCTTCTCCAGCACTATGAGTTGGAACATGTGTTTTCCAGCAGTCCTGGTGATCTGGTTTCCACCAGGAATATGGTGTAGCTAGAAACTTTCAGATTAAGCATCTCTTGTGGTAGCCCTGGGTTTTGAGGGATTATAGGAAGTGCTGCCTCATTTCTTGGGAGAGAAAATTTGCTTAGCTGCACAACCCTGGAAAAACAGTGATAGCGTTTCCAGATTAATGCTTTCAATAGAAACTATTGACCAATCTATCTCCTTTGGCAATGGCAAGGGAAGTCCCCCAGGCGGCCCTCTGATAAGGTCCATTTCCTTTGGGCAGCTTGGAGAAGTGAGTTGGGAGAGATTCAGCTGGCCCTTTTTATAATTCTTTTCTTCTTAAAAAGTTTGTTATTGAAATGTAATTATGCATATGATAAAATAGGCACAGAGTACTTACAAATCATTGAAGTTTTATGTATGTACATGCCACATACCCAGCACCCACACAGAGATTCAAAGCACTACTGAAGTTACCCTCACACACTTTCTCAGTCGTTAATCCTCTAATGGGCAACCACAACAGGAAGGTTTGGCTCCTCTTAAATTTCCCAAGAATAGAGAAACAACATATATTTTTATCTAACTTATTTTAATACAGTGCTTGTGTGGTCGATCCCATCTTTGGAAGTGAAGTGGTTCGCTCTTCTGTATTGTGCAGTGCTCTGTCGTGAGATAAGGCTGTCATATATGCATTACTGAAACACAATCCTTGCTGCCATTATGGACAGTCAGGGTGCTCCAAGGTCTGGCTCCTGGGAATAATGAACCCTTGAAACATGGCATGTGGCAGGTTCATGTCTCCATTCTCTTGCATAGATTTCGGGGACACCTGTTCCTCTCTCTGAATGCAACCTTTCTTTTTTTGTTCAGTTTCTTCAGGATACTCTGGACGCCCTGTTCAACATCATGATGGAGCATTCTCAGAGTAATGAGTATGACATCCTCGTCTTTGATGCTTTGGTAAGAGAGGGGGGCAGGTGTTTTGTGACATTTGGCATGAATGCACAAGAATATCGAAAATAATGGGCTTCATGGCTCTTTTTTATGAGATTTTTTTGAGGCATCATAACTTCTGGGAACTAGACAGATAAATAAGCTGCTGTGCTCCTTCATTTCTTTTTAGTTCATTTGCGAGCCTGGGGCACAGTGGGTGAAAGGGGAATTTTCACTGTTGATGTCAGATTGACACTAGTTGAAAGCACATGAGGTTAGATTGTGTGAATGATTGCCTAGTGATGACAAACCTCTGTGTGTGTGTGTGTGTGTGTGTGTGTGTGTG